TATTATTATTATTATTATTTAATCCCCTTATTTTCTTCATTTTTTTTTCTTTTCGTAGCACCCTAAAAATACACAGGTGATAAAGACTAATACACTGAAGCTAATTATTACATGAAGGCAAAACAAAACAAAACAAAAGCAATCTTTCCCCCCACAAAAGATCCAGAGTATATTACAAGAAATGAAACAAAGGTGGAGACTTCACAAACGCTAACAAACAGGATTCATTTCCCACATAAGATGATTCTTCAAGCTTTATTTATTTTTTTTCCTGTAAAATAAAAACAATACACAATCCAAGGAAAATGAATGCATTTCTGTTAACATGTCTCTATTTTCCATTTACATATGTACAGATGTCCCTTGGAGTCTCTCTACTGCAAACGTGTCTGTGTGTGTGTGTGTGTGTGTTCGCGCATGTATGTGTTATCCTCCTATAATAACAATAACAACGATAATAACAATGCCTTGGCAGTAGAACTATAAATCTTTGTGTATGCTTTTCCATTTAAATTGGGAAAATTTAAAAACAGTGGAAAACTCAAAACAAAATGCCCCTAAAACAACAAATTGTGTCTGTGGATAAATAAACCCAAAACACTATCTAAATTTGCTTTTCAATACGCACAGACAAAAAAAACCTCATTAAGGCCATAACTTATATTTCTTCAGAATAAGTTGCACTGAATGAAACAGGACTGACTTTTTAAGGATTTAACTGCACGCTGCTTAGCAGATGTTCTCTGTATTTTAACAGTGATGGCAGTGTAGTTTACTTGTTTTTCCTCCCCAATACAATCTGCTGATGAATCTTTTGTGTTTGTTTGTGTGTTTGTGCATTTGTGTGTGTGTATGTGAGTGCAGGGTTTTCTAGGCTGATTTTTGGAAAGCGCGTTCTTTCGATCAAATCCATACCCTATTCCTCAATTTAGCCGCAGAGATGCCATGTTCAATAAATACGCTTTTTCTTTTTTTGCAGGCCAAAGCCACATACCTCATCTACCTCTACCTCTACCTACCACGCAGATTTAATTTCTGTTATTTGAGGAAAGAAACCTTCAAATAATGGGGAAGCTTCATACCCACAATAGCCTCAATCGTAGATGTCTTCCCTCCTATCCAGCTTTCAAAAAAAAAAAGTGACTTTTTAGCGGCTTTTATCTAGATCCCCGTGAGCCAACTCTTTCTTCAACACACCTGTTCTAAAATAATTTGGTTTCCAATTACGCGGAAAAGCAAGAGGGGTGGGGAGGGAAGTCCTTGTTGGAACAGATATGTGCTTAATAATAAAGGGGCCATTTTAAGAATTGCGCAACACGATCTATGGCTTAAGATTGGCCTCCCAAAAATTGCATCCATTAAGCTGAAGACACTCAGCGTCTTCTGACTGACATGAAAAAAACACACACACCCCAAGCTTGTTGTGGGCAACCAGACGTAGCTGTGTGAACTTGATCACAAATAAGGATGGATAAATTTGAGGAAATATATTTTAAAAAAGGAAAGACCTCCCATACTTCTACCTTCTTCTGTTCTGATGGCTTGCCATCTACAGCTCCAAGCACTGCCCCCTTTCTTCTCTCCTAGGTGTGGATAAACGATGATTCTCAGATGCATTTAAACAAGGATCTTTAAAATAATAATAATATATTTGTCTATAAAGCGGGTGACAGTCATAATCCTTGCTGTTTGATGTATGTGTGTATGGCCCGTTAGCAAACGGGGCTTATGGATGATATGGATTTGCAAACTGATCTGGGCTAATATATATATATTATATATATATATATATATAAATTAAATGCTACCTTAGTTCAAGAACCTTTAGCTGGGGACGAAGGGAAGAAAGAAAGAAAAAAAGAAAGAAAAAAGAAAGAAAAAAGAAAGAAAAGGCCATTCCCTTCCCCACTCCCAGGCTATGTATTTTAAAAACAGACTAAAAAAAGTGTTGGCTATTATAATGAATGACAAGGCTAAAATATTCACAAAAGATATTTACAATATCGATTCTTAAAATAATTGATTTTGCATAATGAACAGCACTTTTTTTCTTTTTTAAAGAGAGAGAGAGAGAGAGAGAGAACTGGAGCAAAAGTAAAATGCAAGAACAGGTCTATGTAAAAATTTTTTTTAAAAAGTCAAAATAACGGTTGGAGAAGTATAAAGGAACTGAAACTGCCATTTCCTGTTTCCAGAAAGATGCTGCGGGTTAGCGGTGGAACAGATGCTCCAAGAATTTTACAAGCATGATTTCAACGGAGAGAACAAACGCACGATGGATGCAGAGTTTTTCTTTCAACATGCCATTAATTGAGCAGAAGATGACAGAACTTTACACATGGAAACCAACCAGCCAGAGAATCGCTGGCCTAAATCTGGACAGGAAAGGGAGCAATAGTGATTTTTTTTTAAAATGGAAGGGAGGGAGGAGTTAGAGAGAGAAGAGGAAGGAAGGAAAAGGAGATTTATTTATTTAGCCTATGACAAGGAGAGCGAGGAGGGGATGTAGGAGATTGAGGAAGGAAGGAAGGAAGGAAGGAAGGAAGGAAGGAAGGAAGGAAGGAAGGAAGGAAGGAA